TGTTTCATTTTTTTATGTAATTTCTTCCATGTCCTTTTCATTTTATATGCTTTCTTATGATTGTCTACTGTTGTGTTAATGTTTAAAACAGTTCTCTTGAAAATGTGTCCTTGTGACTCAATGAGACTAAGCTGTATAAATAAAAGTTGACTGAATGTACTCCACACGTTATTAATTTCCAATCCTTTAATGTTTATTTACACGTATTGTCTAATTTTATTGCCTGTTTGTTTTCATACCATGCTTTGATTTGTTCAGCACTTGTTTTAAATGTATTATATATTTAAAGTTGATTATAATATTTTACAGCACAGAACAGTAACCAGCAGGTAAAAACTCATTTTTCTTTATGGCTCTAAAAGTCGCTCAAGTAAACAACTATAAAAACTTATTTCTTCTAGTATTCATGCCAGAATTATGTTATCGGAAATCTTCACACCTGGAGTATATATGGAGAGTTGTTCCTCAGATACATAAATAAATTTAATTTACTTCATGCACATTTTATGTACGTATCACTTGTTCATGGAACTAGGTCTGCACAGAATGGAATGTGTTTAACTGATCCAGTCACCTTCTCAGAGATTCTTTATGGTCATTCCACCACATGTGGTACATGTGGAATTATGTGCCCAGGGTCCCTGTTACATCCAACAATAAAATGTAAAAGAAAAATAGTACCAGTTCCATCAAAATAGTACCAGTTTCATCCCTCTCCTGTCCTTCTTCTGTATGACTCCACCTCACTGCAGATCCCGGGACATAAATCTGGACTCAGCACCGAGCAGAGTTTAAGAGGACAGTTCACGAGGGAGGACCAGGTGGAGGGAAAGCCATGTCAACTCCGTGGAAAGAAGAAGATGATGAGCTTAGAGCAGGAGGAGTAAAAGAACAGAAACCCAAACCACCCAAACCCAGGTTCTCCTTCAATGAGATCAGGGTGCTGCTGGACGCTGTGAAGAGGAACAGATACATCCTCCTCAGTGAGTCGAAGGACTTCATCATATTTACTCTCCTTACTGCTCCTTGTTTTAAATAAAATGATGAAAGATCTGATCCAGTCACAACGGGACAGCTATCTAAAGTCAGTCCATGTAACTAAAATTCACATTGAGTTTCTTCTTCTTTCAGGGAAGTTTAACCAGGGTGTGTCAGCAGAAGCCAAGAAACAGACGTGGACTGAGATCACAAATCAGGTCAATGATTTAGGAGAGAATCACAGAGAGGTTTGCAACTTAAGCTCCACAGATTCTTCTTGAGAAATGACTTGTCTCCTGCATTCACAGGAAACTTCATTACATCATAACTGTTTTAATGATCAACATTTTATTTTAAGGTGCGGCAGATCATGAAGAAATGGACCGACCTGAAATGTGATGGGAAACGTCGGATCGTAGCTTCGCGTGGCCCCAATGGCTGCAAACTGAGGAGGAAGAACCTGGGCCCCGTGGAGAGGATGGTCCACAAGATCCTGGTGATGGGTCCTACAGGAGGTCAGGCAAAGCAAGACATGCATTTAGGAAAACCATCATCTGTGAATTAGCCAAGAAGAAACACGACAGTGAGAGGACTGAAGAGAGGAGACAGGAATATAAGGAGATGGGAAGTAGAGCAAAGAGGGAAGTAGCTAAGGCAAAGCAGAAGATGTATGATGAGTTGTATGGGAGACTGGACACTAAAGAGGGCGAGAAGGACTGGTACCGATTGGCAAGACGGAGGGATCAGGCTGGAAAGGATGTGCAGCAGGTTAGGCTTGTTAAAGGTAGTAATGGTAATGTTCTAACAAGTGAGGAGAGTGTGATGGGAAGATGGAAGGAGTACTTTGAGGAGCTAATGAATGAAGATAATGAAAGAGAAAGAAGAGTAGAGGTCATAGAAACTGTGGACCAGGAAGTGGGAAAGGTCAGTGAGGGTGAAGTCCAGAAAGCTCTGAAAAGAATGAAGAAGGCAGTAGGACCTGATGACCAGTGGAGGTTTGGAAATGTCTTGGAGAGACGGCAGTGAGGTTTTTGACTCAAATATTCAATGACATATTTGAGGATGAGAAAATGCCTCAGGAATGGAGAAGAAGCGTGCTGGTGCCCATTTTTAAGAACAAGGGTGATGTACAGAGTTGTAGCAACTACAGGGGAATTAAGTTGAGGAGCCACACGATGAAGATCTGGGAGAGAGTTGTTGAAGCAAGACTTAGACGAGAGGTGACTATCTGTGAGCAGCAGTATGGGTTCATGCTGAGAAAGAGCATCACAGATCCATCTTTGTTTTGAGGATGATGATGAAGAAGTACAGAGAGGGTCAGAAAGAACTCCATTGTGTCTTTGGATAAAGCACATGACAGGGTGCCGAGGGAGGAGGTGTGGTATTGCATGAGGAAATCTGGAGTGGCAGAAAAGTATGTTAGACTGGTACAGGACATGTATGAGGACAGCAGGACTTGTGTGAGGACAGCAGGACATGTATGAGGACAGCAGGACTTGTATGAGGACAGCAAAACACGTATGAGGACAGCAGAACATGTATGAGGACAGCAGAACATGTATGAGGACAGCAGGACATGTA